TTCTGTTGGATGGAGAGGCTGAGCACTGGTGGGAAGGTTAGCAGGCAGCCAGATTTCAGGGTAGGCTGAACTCTTTGACTAAAATTATTAATATTATAAGTTCATATACTTCTCATGCAAGTTGAAATATGTATTCAAAATTAAAATTTTAAATGTCCTAAAACAATTAATACAAAAGATTCATCTCAAAGAAAATATTGATAGAAATGTATAAGAATTTAAAATAACTCTTGATAATGAGGATGATAAAATCATATTAAATATTTATTTAATTTATAATTACAAATAACTTATTTAAAAAAAAGAGATGAACATCTTAATTTATGTACACATCGCATATTAGTTTTACACTTAAAGATAAAAGAGAATAGGTACTTTTTATCCCACAACAAGCTCGACGCATTTCTCTACTCCAACCATCCAACTTGAATACTACTAATAATATCCCCATCTATTTCATCATCACGCAAAACATCAGACCCAAACGATCTAAAACATGTACTACTATTAATGACTTAAGCACCCAAAGTCATAATTCCCCAACTAAGGCTTCGTTTGGGACGGTCTTTCTTTCTGCTTCTTAAATCAACTTTTTAGTACAAAATTAAAATCTATGTACTAGAAAGCCGCTTTAAAAAACAGGAAGAAAGCCGTCTCAAACAAAGCATAAATCTATTACTACTAAAGCAATCTTAAAAAATGGAAATTGCACAAATCTCCTTTTTAATCAACCATAAAACTCAGGACAGCTATCACAGAAAAACCTACTGACAAAACTTTGGCATATACTTAACCTTCTAATAGAGTTGATGTTCACAAATGGTTCAGATAGAGAGTACAAAATACTTTGCCTCAGGTGGTTTGCTGCCTATTCCTCTGTAATGAAAATGGCAAAATATATAAGCAACCAACACAAAATTGCAACCACCATTCCAATGCAAAAACATGAAGCAGGAAAATGATTAATGCAGCCATTTTCGGCAGTCAGAAGAACCACAAAAACAACGCAACTTCTTCAGAGTTCCATCAACTCCAACTACGCTATCAAGCACGTATCCATAGTCGTATGTGAGTTCCTGCAAATTTTACAGATCATTAATGCATTAAATGTACAAACAAATGCAGATTCATAGGAACTGGTATGTCAAAACTACGATAAACGTGATAGATAAAAAAGGCAATTATGTCAATATATGGAATGTTTCACCATTTTTGGAAGAGAAATTATTATGTGCGGAAACTGGACGATAAGAACCGTCTGAATTTACTGTGCTTTAGTTGCTCTTTTGTAAATAATCAGCCAAAGAACAATAAATATGCATTCATATCTAAAACCAAAGAATTTGAAGATGTAATGCATGATATAATTTCTATCAAGTGGGAGCATCAAATGGGAAAATGAGCTGCGAAGGGTTCACAAATAGCAAAGAATTTGGGACAACCCAATGGATGATATTTAGATAAATAATAAGAGAGAGAGAGAGAGGGAAGAAAAGAAGGGTGATAAAAATGAGAAAAATATTTGTATCTCACTCTCATTTAAAGATAAGTAGGTCTTCATCTATTAGAGGTCAGGATAATAGAAGGATGTTATCAAAATATATAAACTCACTAGTATTATTTTTCTGATAGTCCCTGTGGAGATTATTTTTCTCATTCTCGTGCTTATAATTATTTTCAGGTGTAAGCTTTCATCAATCTGTACTCATCAATGTTGCACCGACACGGATACGGCAACACAAATACGACACGATATGAATATACGTCAATTCTTAAAATGAGTACGGGTACGGTACGGACACGGCATTATAATTTATAATCATACATAAAAATTAAGAAATCAATCAAAGCATAATATTTGAACAAAAAAATGACAACAACATCATTTATAGCCTTGTAGCTTATAATATCAAAATATAAGTAAGCATTAAATGTCTAGTACAACAACAAAAACAAAAACATAAATTATCTAGCACATGAAGTTTCAACTATTCAATAGAATGAATGATATAATTATCTTCTTCATTGGTTTGTCTTTGAACTTCTATATCATCTTTAATAAATATCACAGCTTGTAATTCAAGCTCATCAAGTGAAAGATTAGTAATTTTTAATATTTTCATATCATCAAGAGACTCAAATCCATCTCAGAAATGAGAGAATCTTGCTCGCAACCGCGGAAGTAAATATGACACGTCTTTTTTGTTCAGATTTTTTTTTTTTCAACGGACACGCGTATCGGATATGTGTCCTTTTAAAATTAAATAGTATTTTAATTGGATACGGCTTTGGCTTATCCGACACGTATCGGTGGAGTATCGGAGGCGTATCCGTGTATGGGTGTATCGGATACAGCACGCCTTCATAGATAGGTGTATCGGTGCAACATAGGTACTCATCCAAAACAAAAACAAATTTGAGTCTATTTACGACATTCACGACAAGCCCTTTTAATCTATATATTCAATCATCCCTACTACTAATAGTGGGGTTAAGGTTGACAAGGAAAGAGCATACAGATTTCTAAAGGGCAACCACAAAACTCATATATAGTGGAGAAAGAGAAACAAATGCAAAAGGCCCAAAAAAAATAGAAAGAATGGCAAAATCATCATAAAATCTTGGCCAACTTCGAAATAAGATCTTTTTTTTTTTTGCTTTGCAATTAAATAAGGACCATCACACAGGAAAAGTAAAAAAATTGTATTCAATAATTAAAGTGAAGAATTTCAAAGCCCATGGATACTTCCATACTTGAGGCAAGTCAAAAGAAATCTTAAATGAAATAATTTAGGAGATCTAAAAATTCTCTTGAAATAAAAAGTTACCACCATCATGCATGAGCTAAAAGAGAATTTCCACATTGGAAAAGTCCCACTTTCCTTCATTAGGAGAATTAATTTCGCAGGAGTGAAACGGACATGCCAACTAAGAAGACCTAAGATTTGAAGATCAAATATAGAATGTGACCAATCAAACCATCCATGACAATGGTTTGTGGATTAGAACTCTGAAATACCAAATACACCGTGTTTATTGTAATTACAGCAAGGCAATGATGACTTTGAATTTTAAACTTCATTAGATAGGCTAATTTTAAACTTTGTAATCAAAGACGAGGATAACTTTTGTCGGAGTTATCTTTAAATATTAGAATGTATGAGGTTCCAATTACATATAAAGTTTTAACGCAATAATTTCATACTGAAATACTTCAAAATCTAGAAAACCCAATAAAAATTTTCTCACAACACCTTTTTCTTTTCATTTCCTTTCCAGCCTAGTTCACTCAAATGCCAGACTCGTGGTTCTAATTAATGTAGTCAATTTGGAAACCTAAGAGATTCTATATTTTTCAAAGAGAATTTCTCCCGAAAAATTATCCGGATACCCCACTCTTTCAACAAACAAAATTCTTCAAAATTTATTTTCATCATTTTGAAATAAAGAAACATGTAGAAATACTCAAATTTTAATTGATTATGCAATTACTTGCTAAATTTCAATTCCCTAAAACTTCTATCAAAATTATTGGAGCAACTAAAATAGTACCGACTTCTCAAAATTTTGATGAACCTAAGCAACTAAAATAATACCAACCTAGTTAATCCCATTCCCTCCAAAAGCAAGAGTTTAGAAGAGGTGTAAGAAGCTGCAGATCGTGTGAAGTAGTCGGTACTATATCAAAAACGAATAGAGGTTTGAGTATAGGAAAAGCAGACTTGCAGAAGAAGAGAAAGCTTAGGTACTATAGCAGCCAACTTCTAAAATAAGAGAAATAAAGACACCGCAATAATTGGCATATAGAAGAAGAGAAAGCTCAATTTTTATAACAGTTTACAACCATTTCAGTTTAATTACGGCTATAAAAGAGGCTTTAGAAAGGTCATTGGCAGTAGAACAACAACCACAACAACATCATCAAGCCTTTGTCCCACAACGTGGGATCGGCAATCATTGACAGTAATCTAAACGGGAAAAAAATCATAAGCATTGGGTAAAGCTAAATCTGAGACCTAAAAAATTTTTAGACAACTGCAAAACTCAGTAATTATAACCATTTTTAGAATTTATAAAGATAAATCTAAGAGCTAAAAAATTTTACTGCACGTTCCAGCTTTGTTTAAGACAAAAAAAAACCAATAAAAAATTTCTGCAAGTACGGTAAGATTATTAGCAATGGGTAAAGAAAATCACCTGCAGTGGAGGTATATTATCAGCAGCAAACAACATTATCTTTGCCATTTTAATGTCCTGATGTTGGCTCAACACACATTGAACAAAAAGATTTGGAGAACAGCTATGATTAATAAAGCGTGCAACACTGCCAATAGAGCCCGCATCAATGCAATACTCTGGTGCTTCAGATTTCTTCTCATCCAAATCAATAAGAGAAGATAAATCACCCGGACGCCTCTATCAATTAAAATTCAAAAAAAAAATCTTTTTAGCATGAATTAACTGTTCTGAGAAAAGAAGCAATAGACTACCCAAAAAAAAAACGATACATAAATCACTAAATAAAAACTAAGACGGAATATTAGAAGAAAGAAGGATTTTGAAAGTTGACACTAGCATAGGAAATGAAAATATTTTTATCACATCGTATGCATTTTTCTACACGCTAAATATAATCAAATTAACTCAAGAATAGAGTTAGATAAACATCATTTGATAAATGCAATAGTTCTAAGCCTCACACATCATATAACATTAAACAAGATATTTAAAAGAGCAGAATTTAAATAAGATTTATGCAAATATGCATGAGAATGCACTTTTACAAGGATCTAAAACTACAAGCAAAACGCTCAACATATTATATATATATATATATATATATATATATATATATATATATATATATAGCATTATATTTAAAAAAATTAATCACCTTTCCCGTAATGTTTAGAAGATGTTGAACAAGACTCGAAAATTTTTTGGCAGACAAATTTGTTACTAAAAAAAATAAAAAATAAATTATCAGATGAAATTAAATAACATTCCAAGATACAAGAATCAAAGTAAATTCTTACACAGCAGCAAAGTGAATTTTCTAGGCATCCTTCTTTTGATCACAAACAACATCAAACCTTTATCCTACCACGTAGAATTGGCCACATGAATCCTTTTTATCTATTGTGTGTTGTTAAGAGTCAAATCCTCATTTAAATCTAAAAAAAATATAATTTCTAAAAAATTTTAACCAAATATTTTCAGGTCTACCTCTACATCTCCTAATATAGGTAAAATGTAATACATCTACTCTCATAACCGAGTCATCAGAAAGCAAACATTTTATGTGAACAAATCATCTAAAGTTTCTCTCTCTAGTCTTATCTACACCATTGGAGGTACTCCAACCTTTTCACATACATACTCATTTTGCACTCAATCTTCTCTTTGAAAAATAAAATAAAATAAAGGTTCTATGCACAACAGCACAACAAAATAAACCCACAACACACTCAAACAAACATTGCATCAATTTCCTTCTCAATCATTCAATAGGCCAAACCCTATAGGTCAACTAATGTTTTATAGGCCTTAAGCACAAATGATAAAATAATGAATGTAAACTAACCTATAAAACTATAATTGTGACATCTAACAAGGCAATCAACCATATTTAATTGAAAATAATTACTATCAACCACATAACATTTACAATAAGAAGAATATTGGAAATCGATATTAATTTCTTTTCACTTCCGAAGTATTTTTCTTTGGTCAAATATTTCTCTAATTTCTGCAAACCGTATAAACCTACCCAAGAATACGCCAACCCTCAATAAACAACAATGACATACACCGTATATGATGGTATCGATAGATATTCAAAAAAAAAAAAAAAAGATGATGATCCAATTACGTAAATACCTCTCTTCCATCAAGGCCTTTAATTGTCTGCAAACAATCAATATCAAAGATATAGTTATTCTCGACAACAGAATCAATATCCTCTGTTTTCGTCAAGATTCCTGTGTATTCACATACTGGTGCACCAGAGGGTATTGTATCCCAGGATCTTACAGCCCAACCCTTTTTTGTGGTACGATAAACCTGTTAAGCATTGTGATAACACAAGAAGTTGAGCAAAAGAATTATATTATGATGCATATGTATGAGAGAGAGGAAAGGAAGTTTCAAATAGAACCTCGAGCCGATATCTGAGACCATTTTGAGAAGTCCTATTTACACAGGTAGATCGGCATTCACAATGAGGACCACATTCAAAGACAACAGCTTTTGCTTCAACCAATCTATAGACAAGGAAACAACCCAAATTAGAAACAAAACATACACAAAAACAAATATACATACATACATACATATATATATATATATATAAATTTATATATATATATATATATAAACAGGAGCTGAAACAGGATCAGTATTGAGGACCATGTCAACATGACGGATTTTGCAGTCACCAAATCCGAACATGCAAGTTTCATGCATGGATATCAATGGAAGAAAAGAACTTTAGAAATGATAATTTGGGGGCAGTCAAATGAGTTCAATAAAATACAAACAAACAAAAAAATCAATCAAAACAGTAATTAGAAACAAATAACCCAAACGCAAATAAAAAATCATTAAAAACAGAAAAATAAGCAAATAGAGAATGTCAAATCGGATTAACGGATCGGCTTGGATCAAAAATTGATCTGAACCGAATCTGCTTAACCCGAACCCTACCTATTTAACAATTGAGTTAAAAAATTAAAGCAATAACCCGTTTAACTTTTAAAAAAATTTATTACCTTTTTAATCATAGATTTTAGGTTTGATAAAAAAAATAAAGATTAAACCAATAAATAAAGAAGCAAAAAAGATTGACCAATAAGAAGGCTAATGAACAACAAAAATTTAGTAAAAATTTTCATACCGGCCCCCATCCTTGCGGACATATGGAAAGTCATTTCCGTTAAGTCTTGCACAAGAACAACTTCTTGGATCAACACATTCTCCTTTACACTTGCAACCACAAGCAACTGATGGAAGTTTCAAATTTTTTGCAAGTTTGGTTGACTTGCTATACACAAAACCTGCAAATAGTTGAGAGAAATAACACATCTTAATCCAAGAACAAGAAGCAAACACAGCTCAAACAATTTAACTAAAAACAGTGTATTGAACTCAGCAACATTTTTATTTATTGAGAAAACAAAATTGAATAAATCTTTCACATATGGCCAGGAGAAGAACCAAAAACACTCTACAATTGAAGTCCTACAAACTTCATGCCAACATGTGGTGAACTAACATGATTAAACTTCCAAATTAAGCAAAAAACATCAGACACAAGTACAACAGAAAATCTCTACAAATTTAATAGGTCGCCAACACCCTTGCTAAAACACATAAACACACATTTCAAGATTCATGCATCAAAAAGCATTTTCTCTCACTTCCTTCCTACTCAGCCTCTTTTAATTCTACCTGCTTCTTTCCTTCATAGAAGAGAAAGAATGTACTAATTTATCATATCAAATGATCTGGAGAAAAAAAGATAGAAGTAGCTTCATAGGAATCACAAGAAAAGTATGCATAACATATAAGTGCACATGCGAGAAAAAAAAAAAAGCATTGGTCAGAATACATAAAAGGGACAAGTCAAAAAAAAAAAAAAAAAAAAAAAAAAGGGAAAAAAAAAAAAAAAAAAAAAAAAAAACTCCAATAACGAATAGAGTTATCAGGAAGTATCATATGGCAAGAAAATATACACTTGAGAGGATCAAGCATGTCCCAAACGAAAGGAAATACAGTTACCTTATGGAAATGGGAAATAGACAATTATGATCGAAAGAGTATAACATAAATTGGAATAGGCACAATATGAGAAAGATAAATCCACATCTTCATCATTGTAAATTGTTATCCAAAACTATCTTTGATATTTTTTTTAACTTTGCATCAAGCAATTCCTCATATTTGCCTCTTGATCTAATACTATAATTTACGGGATTGGAAATTTAGCTTCAAAAATAATAAAAATAGCTGCAGGCAAGTATGATATTCGAAAATAGGGTCATAAACAAAAAGCATCCAACATGTTTACCTCCTAAATACTAAGATATCAAGACATAAAAATATATATAGATTAAACTTCAAAATTCAATTCAATTGCTTAAATCGCAATTAATTTTTTTAATAAGTGCAATATTATAATTTCAAATTGGCATAGGAACAAATGAAAATAAAAATATAGAAGATAAAATACATATAGTATGAAGCCCAATGATGACCCTCAGAAAAAAAGTTAAAAGGGAGACAAAATACATTGAAATCGCCTTCTACCAAGCCTTCTAAAACAAGGGAGTGAATGATACATTAATTTCTCATTACATCCCATTTAGAAAAATAGGATTTGAAACTGAATATATAACAAAGCATAATCACTAATTCGCTTCCATTATAAAAATCAAGTCGCTGAAAATCAAGAACACCTAGGTCTACACAATTATCAAGGGGAGGAGGAACTACAAAGTTGGAGAATCAAATTTCACCCATTTATTACTATAAGGACTAGCAAGTGGAGGCACAATAGAAATAGAGTTCAAAGAAAACTCAATTAATTTCAAAATTTCAGTCCAAACCAAAACTAACAGACGTACCAAGAAGCAACAAAAAAAAATTGTGTTCGTGAAATAAAACAAACCAGAAGGGCCAAAAGGAGGACCATCTACTACATTAGTGGCTGGGATGGGAAAATTCTCTTGCCCTGCACTAATATCGTCACATACCAATCTACAAACAAACAAACAAAAATGTCAGTTCCAACTTAAATAACTAATTTACTTATTAAGTGCCATGATTCAAGAAAATATAAAAAGCCAACATTGAAGAAAAGTTTTTAAACACTTGAACAAATAGTGAAACAAGATCCAGAAAGACCAAATTTATCCAGAATGGATATCCAAACTTACCCATAAGGACATCCAAATTTATACAAGCGTCGGGCAACAACACTAGTATCGAGAAGCATGAAAATTGAGAAAAACATGAACCAGGGTTAATACACTCTAACTTTACACTACAGGACTTGCAAAGAGCAGGAGATTTTGGCTAGGAAAAATAGAAGGAGACTTTTAACAAACACTACAACTCGTCTGTGCAAAAGAGCACCGAATTTGTAGCGCAAAACTTGCCTACATTTGTGGAAAAGGGGATCGTAGTGAACAAATCAAACCTCATTCAAGGGAGAATAATGGAACCCGTAGGAAACAGGACACTTGTCCTACGAGCAACAACAAGACCTCCTAGTGTCGATTGAAGAGACATCCCCAACAAATTATGCTAACTAACAAATTTGAACGAGTTCAATATGTTAAATGTTCGGTCAGATCTATGATTAAAAGGAGCATTTATCGCCTTCAATCAACACAACCAGATTTGCAACACATACAAGCGGAGAAGGCATTTTTTTAAAATTTCCAAATGAGAAATTGCAGGCACTCGAGAAGCATGCAACAACCTTGACAAAAGTGCAAAAGCCTTGGGAAGCGAATTATTGTTTAGAAAATATACCACTACGACGAGAAGTGTAAAACAAATCAGTGAAGCATGCTGCCTCAAGAAGCATGTCAAGGCACCAAAGACATAAGTGAGACATGCATGCATATTAAGCACCAATCATGAAACACACGGATGCACCAATAGTGTATGCTCTCACAAATTCAAATACATTGTGTACGGGCAATGCATCATATGTGAATGTCACGTATCTACATTATGCGACACTCAAATGAGTCATCCAAATACATTTTTCACCACGCAAATACATCATGCATATGTGCTATGAAATATAAAAAATTAAAACTACCACCGAATATGCGTGGAGTGGCTTGGGCCTAAAAAGCTCAAATCTATATAGTTCACGGTCACAACTTCTGCCTCTGACTGTATAAGATGGGTATTATTAGATTTGAAGAATGGCATAATTGTTAATCTTAATTAAGAAGAGCTCAAACTCATCCAAAGTGTTTTTTTTTTTGTTTTTGTGTTGAAAGTCATATAATAAAATCCAATAAAATATATCACATTATGCCCCAAACTTCGAAAAACTAGGATTTAACTGAAAAAAAGCAACATGGCCACCCATAGAAAGTTAAGAATTCAAAACACCATGTTAGAATCATAGTTTGTTTCAATTTAAACTTCAGATTCTTTAGTTTCAAAAAAATTTAACTTCAGTTAATTTCAATGATTATGAAAGTTTCAAGATCCATTTCTAGTTGTAATCTTACATAAAATGTTACAAATAAAATTTGGTGGGATCTGCACAATAAACTCTTATGAGAACCTTGCAAAATAATAAAAAGTTTTTTGATTTTTCGTCAACAATAAGTGTTTTACCCGAAATGAAATGAAACTCATAAAGTTTCAATGGAAACAATCAAACAACTAAGTTTATATGGTTGTCGCAATAAAAACTAAACTAAAAAAAAAATATTAATAAGTTATTGATTGATTTCAAACAAAATATGATGATGACATCAGACCGTAGAGAGTTTACAAGAGACGGGGTCGACAATCGACAACCATGATTATAGTGCTTTATTTTTGAGTTATTTATTGTATTTGATTCATTATTGTTTATTTTTTGATTTTATCCTCACTTGTGGAAATAGGTGTTTGTGACCCCAGGGGGCACTATTGTCTTTTGTTCTGTTATTGTATTTGGGGACTATTTATAACCTATTAGCCTCCTATGCTTATGATGCATAATGAATATTATTACAAGAAATTTACGCACTTGAGTTTTGGGAAAGCTTGAGAGTTCTTGGAGAGATTGAAGACCCTAGGTGAGGGCAACGAATCACCCACGAACTGCATCAAGCGTCCGGGCTCGTGGTTATCTTTCTTTCCCTAAACCCCCCTCCTTCTCCAACTGCCAAGCAAGGCCACTCCTAACCGCCAGTTTTCACTAGACCTGTCAATATTGGACCCGACCCGAAAACCCGATCCAAAATTTTCGGGTTTGGGTTGACCCGAACCCGAAGCGGGTCGGGTTCGGGTTTCGAAAACTAACCCGTTTATAAAACCGGGTCGGGTTGACCCGAACCCAAATAAATCCGGGTCAGATAAAGGTCGGGTCGGGTTCGACCCGTAACCCGAAATTGACAGGTCTAGTTTTCACCCCCTCCACCCTCATACCCGCCAACCTCCCTATCCATCCCCTCTTTCCAAGCCGCCGGACAATCCTCCCTCTAAACCGCAGGATAAATCCATCCACGCCAAACCCTAGCCGCCGGCCCCTCCCCTCCACTCCTCTCCCAACTTTATTGCTTTCCTAAAATATCTCATTATTCATTTGGGAAGATTTTGAATTCAAATTCAAATAATTTTGAAATTCAAATCCTTTCCTAAATAATATAGCTTATTTTAGGAAATCCCCAATCTATTCAAATATGAAATTAAATCAGATTTAATTTCAATCCCACATTCTATGAATGTGGACATCAATTAAGTCCTCCCCAAATTTAAGTGCCTAAGACTTGAAAATTGATTGATTTCCCAATCTATCTTTTCCCTCCCTTGTAGCTGATGGTCCCCACTCCCCCTCCTTTCTCTCACCCGCCGGCCTCCCCATCCCTCTCTCCAATTTAAATATTACATCCCATTAAAGTCACCAACCAGCCCCTTAACTCCCAATCAACCCTAGCCTCCTTCATCTTACCCCGTTTTTACTATTTCTCCTACTTGTCTGAAATTTCTGCTAGCTGTCCAGAAATTTCAGCAAGATCTTCTTGCTGTCCTGCACTTATGAAGGCCACTTCTTGCCGCCCAAGAACTCCCGACACCCTACGGTTCCTGTCCAAACTTTTTTGGACATTGTTGAGCTGATGTCCAGAGAATTTCAGCAAGAAGTTGTCCTGCTCTCCGGAAATCCACCCCTTGCTGCATGAGAGGTCCCAATCACTCTCATCCGTTTAGTAGCAGATCGTTTCCAAATCTTGATCAAGGTGAATTTCTCCGTCAAATCTTTTTCCTTTCTAAGTCTTACCTTAATTAGTGGCTTCCTTAAAGGTTATGCAACCTATCTCTGTTTAGCCTATATCAAAAGTGTGAGTAAGTAAGATCTAAGTAGTGCCGCTAATCGTACTGTTAATTTAGGAACTTCTTTTGAAAATCCCCATGCTATTCTAATCTTGATTATACTTGATTATTCATGATTCTAACGCTTACATGTAGTTTGGTCTAAGCTTTAATCATCTCTCCATTGTTTTAATACACGTTTAAATCACTAGAACATAACATAATTATTATTGCTCTAATTCAAAGGCGTGTAATTTTAACAATGCATAATTTCCCATACATTTAGTTCTACATCAAAATAACCTAAAAGTAAGCCGTGCAATACGCAATATCCATACAATGAAGAAAAGGAAAATATTCAAAAAACTCTATAGTACGTCCGAAACAAAAAAAAACTTATGATCCTATTCACTATTACGTAGATAAAAATGCAGCCAATAAATACATTCATCTGTACGTGGTGAGAGCATACACCCATGAGGCACAAATTATAAACATCAAATGCATCACATATTTATGCACATGCATAACTCCCAATTCAGTTCAAAAGAAGTTTATCGCATACCCCCGTAGTTCTGAAATTGACGAAGGAACTTGTGCGCGGGAGAAGTAAACCTGGTTGTTCAACAAATTTTTGTTAGAGTTTTAACACAAGCTCTCCACCAAATTTAAAATGGTACCCAAAATAGGTAGAAACAAGATAGAAATAAGTAACGAACTAAACACACTTTAGAAGTTGTAAGTATAACTCATAAGTTAAACCAAGTACAGAGATCACCACTTCACTCCAAACATATTACTCCATGTAACTTCATGTCGATTAAGAATTAACAATGTAACCTGGAAGATGATTAACATCATACATAAATGTCATGCCATCTTCTTGAGAAAAGCTTGGAATTTACATAATCGCAAACAATGCACTGAACAAATATTCCACAATCTCCAAAAACAACAGAATTTTGATGAAGCTGTCCATTAAGTTGAGGCTTAATCAATCAATTGGATGTTGGAATAATATAGGCCAATTTGCAAGATCAAACAAGATTTGCAAATAGCACCTTTATTAATACATAAATTTCTTGTTCTCACACTTCGTCCTATCTCCTTTCTTCTGGAAAACATTATTATTCCCGTTTTACAGGAAACAATATACAAACAACTCTAAGAAAGCACATTTCACACGTACACAAATGGTGACAAAAACTGACACAAATTATAAATCCAAACCATGTTGGCCATACTGATAGCGTGGGAAACCCTGAAATAAAAATTCGGAGAATTGAAAGCAACATACAACAATCCATAATTTGAGGAAATACTTCTCAAAACTACAACAAATACTATAAATTTAAGAACTTATGTAAACAACTTTTACCATTTACTCCAAGATACTTTACGAAAACAACTTGCTGCCATATCGGGAACGCAATTAGATTATATTATTCCAAACTTATTTCTAACAAATAATGTTAACAAGTTTTTTCCTCCACATTGGGAACAATTATGGTTTTTTTTTTTTCTAAACCTTGCTACTTCATATAAAGTTTACATTTTAACCCATTAACCTAATAAATACAGAAATATGTAACATTCTACACTTATAGTTTTAAAGAAATTAATTTAATTCAGATTGGTTGAGACCAAATTGCATCTAGGGTCTAAATTAATTTTTTTTTTTCTGAAATTTACCAGGCTTAAAAAAACAACGATAGCCTAACTAGCGTTGCTAAGTACCCGACAGAAATAATGAGGGTCTACTACTATAAGCTTTCTTGATGTGCAGCAAGATAATCAAGTTCAAACAAAACTATAAATCAAACCAAAACGTTCAAAACATTTAAAGCAAATTCAAGCAATCCCTACTAAAATTGAAACAAAAAAACAAACTTCAAAGATATGTATTCCTGAAAAACAAACAAAACAAGTCAGTCAGATTTCGAATATAGAAAATTTAATTTGGTTCTGATTCTCGATATCTTCAACTGATTTAGGCTTCGTTTGGGATAGCTTTCTTACGGCTTCTTAAAACAGTTTTTAGTACAAAATTTTTAAGTTTTGTACTAGAAAGCTGCTTTAAAAAACAATAAGAAAGCCGCCCCAAACGAAGCCTGGTTTTCTTCAAAATGCAAGCTCAAATTGCCTTGAAAATATAAATGCATTATGTATAACAACCACAAAATTTTTAAACTTCATACAAAAACAAATTCAATTGAAGCACCCAAAACGGTGCAATATGATAGCCAGTAAGATCTACAATACAACACAACAAGGTGATAGTGCTATCGATGCATTAAACAGAAATATGTTCATCACCGCAAATTCATTTATTTAACGACAAGAAAAGTTGACTGAATCAATGGATACGTCAGAGTTATCAATGAACAAAAGAAAAAATGATGGTGACAATTTGCTCTGTCAAGACTGGTTGATAGAACAATCTATTCTTGATAACAGGATTAAAAAAAATGCTACTATGTGAGACAAACTTTCTAAGAAACATGGGGCTAATTAAAGCAAGTTATATATTGGTTAGGACGAGCTATTAAGGTTAAGAGGCAAGCATGTGATCGTGGTGAGAGCATACATCCCATGAGGCAAATTATTTGAGCTATTCATTCATTTTGGTAAAAGTAAAATGCATCAAGAGCTCCAATTTATTATTGTCGTTATAACTTGACAAAAAATACCAGCTAGCTTTTTCTGAATTATCTAGTTTGCAAAATGACTAAGAAGTAGCTTCAAACTTTTGATTGGACTACAATTGCGTTCGTCTATACTATGATAGAAGCGAGATGACATTCTTTAAAGTAGTCGTCAGTCAAGAGTAGGGCAGCAAACCTTTTAAAAGGTGCATGTGGTGCGGACATCAGACGGTGGACGTTAATCAAAGGAATAGACGAAAATCGAAGGCCGAGATCCCTACATTTTTATCTTAGTTTATTAATTGTAATTTTTTATCTAATTATGTATTTTCCGTTTTTACCCTTACTTTAGGGTCTTGTCTTATGTAAGCTCATGAGGCAAAGTTGTCTTTTAGTTTCTTTTAAGGCCTATATATAGAGACCCTTGCACTTGTATTAAGAAATAGAGTTTAATAAAAAAATTGTTCTGCACTTTTGTTCCTTGGAAGGACTTTAGTGAGGTCCCTCTCGGAGAGAATCGTAGTATCCACCAGCTGTAGGATGGGTCCGGGCTCACGGCTTGAAGTCTCTTGGTGAATGGCAATGTATCACCCATCAGTAGTAGGAAGCATTCGGGCTCATGAATTTATTGTTCTTTCCCTGAACTCCTTTTCTCCTTCTCCCTTGACGACCGGCCATACCCCCTCCATAAACGTCGGCCAAGCTTCCCTCTTCCCTCCTCCCACTATCTAAACCGAACACCACCACCCATTCTTTCTCCTCCACCAGCCGGCCATAAGTCCCACCACCACCAACCTCAAGAATCCTTTCTTCCCTACCAAAACATTCCTTTTCCTCCTAGCCGCCACTATCAAACCCTAGCCCTCACTTGACCGCCAGCCATAGTGCCTCTCTTTGCCTCCAAATCTTCAAAACCCAAATTAATCCCTTTCCATATGTAGTGTATTTCAATTTGGACAGATTTAAAATTTCAATTTTAATTGAATTGACTCTTTCCTAAATTAACTCTTTATTAATTTGAAAAGTTATTCAATTTGAATTCAATTAAATTTTGGATTTAAAAAATTCTACTTTAGGAAACCAATCCAATTACCCCCAATCTGAAATTAATTTTAGATATAATTAGCAATCCCAATTAATGATTGATTCACATTGAACCTAGACACCTACTCCTTCCCTCTCATTTGGCCGGCCACTCTCTCTCACCTACTTTAATAATTTTCTTCCTAATTAAAGATCCCAATTAACGAGATAATTAATTTCTCTCTTCCCTACCATCTTTTCTTGTTTGAATTTCAAATTCAAATCCATTAATTAAGAAAAATCTAAGATGGAATTTTAGATCTTTCATTTTTATTACCCACCCGCTCAGTTCTACATCAGCATGATCCTTAGTTTCAAATTGTGATGGAAAGTTTACAACAACAAAGCAAAATATATCAAAAGCTTTAGATACAAAGTTGGCATTACTACACAAAGTAGAAAACTAAGGAGAAAACATATTCTAGAACTAGAGAGTATACGTCCTAAACTTTGATGGACATTAAAATGAAAAAGTACCTATAATAGAGCTTGCATTAAAAAAAAAATTCAATCATGAACTCTCATGGAAGAGTGAAAAGAAACACACAAGAAATAGAATACCATATCAATGCTAGATGAAACCTAGCAAGATGATATGTTCTAAACTACAAGATGATGTGTTCTAAACTACAAGAAGATATGTTCTAAACTACAAGATGCTGCAAGTAATAAGATTCAAAAAATCCAAGAAACCAATATAAGCAAGCTCTAACAAAAAAAAAAAATTCTATAACGTGAATGAATGAATGCCTCATTGACAAATATATAAAGCCTATATCATGTGCATGATAATTCATCGCTTCACATGAATGTGGAACGACAAAATATTCGAGCCTTGCCATAACTTTCAGTTTTGTTAAAGCTTTGAGTAATATGAAAAGAAGGAAGAAGACGATTAATATCCTTTATATCATGGTTTAAAATTGCGCAATATGAGGCTTGCCTTGAGGCCCGCCTTTGCGCAATTCCAGTAAAAAACACCTATATGCTTACGCCTCGAGTTTAAGTTATGAGGCTTGCGCCTCAACTTGGTTGAGGCCAGCCTTAAGGCCCGCCTCGCCTCACTGGCATGAGGCTTATGCCTCACACTATATATATTAAAACTTACATAAATCTTGAAGTAAATGCCCGACATTTGACTCTATAGGAGAGGAGGAAGAGGAGAGAGCAATTCATCATAATGATGATTCAAATGAAGAACTTCTTAGTGATGACAATGCTGATGATTTATGAGTTCTTATGTGATATGTTATTGCTATTTATTTTTAGAATTTGGAATTATATGTTAATGAAAAGAATATTGGGATTTGGGAAAGATAGAATTTTGAGTTGAATTATATTTCATATTGTCTTATTATTGAGATATTTTGATTTCACTTCATATCTATGCTTTTTTATGTTTTATTTTATTCTTTCATTAGTATTTAAAAAATTTATCATTTTATGTTTACGCAATTTTTTGATTTTGAGGCTTACGCCTCAAAACGCCTTGAGACTTACGCCTCGCCTCACGAATGAAAAACGCCTTAATACCCGAATACGCAATTTTAAACATTGCTTTATATAATTAAGTTTTAAATTTGAAGGAAAAATTTTTTTTATAGGAAGAGAGATCGACAGGAACCAAAAATTATTTCAAGTTAACGACTTAAGGGAAAGTGCAAGCGCCAATACTGTAGGCCACAACAATAGATTTGCTTGCTTCTGGGCTTACCAATAAGTGCTTCTTTACCACACTGGAAAGAAAAATGAAAATCCTACCAAACTGAATAAAATTGCACAAATCAATTGAAACGACAAGAATTGAGCCATAATAGAACAAATTTGAGATAAATCGACTCAAATTAAATCTAAATTGGCTAAAACTAAATCAAATTGAACAAAATT